TCCTAGGCTCTGATACCACTGATGGGTTTTTAAGCATTCTAACACTTCCTAAGTGTACATGCAACCCTAATAACCTTGAATCTATGTTTTCTCTATATACATGCAAATTTCTTTTTCAAGGTTATTTCCTAACTAGCATGGCATGGGGATTACATAAAACATAAAAACTAGTAGAAATACATACCTTGTTGTTGCTTGGATTCCTTCAAGACTTTGTGAGCCTAGCACCCCAAATGTTGTGCCTCAAATGCTTCACACAACACCACAAGACTTGGAATAACTTGAGAGAATACTTCTAGCACTCAAAATCGGTTATGCCCTCTCTAGTAACACTATGTCCACTAGCTCCACTTTTTGCTAGCTATAGGGTTCATTTTATAGTGTTGTCACAATTAGGGTTTACACATGAATGCCCTTAATTGTCATGACTCTTGATTTCCCATGACCCATGGATTTGTAACTCCCATGGACCATCCATGGAGCTCCATTTGGTTACATCCATAACCCATAAACTATGGATCATTAATCCACCATAAAAGAATTGATGATTGTCATAATCAACCCTATATATTTAATTAGTCTCACTTTGATCACCAAATTAATCCTAGATTAATACTTGATCAATACTAATTAAATAATACTATTATTAATATATTAGAACTTATAATATATTAATAATCATAAGTGCCTTATTCTCTCATTTAGTCTATCCAAGTATTGCAATGCCATGCAACCCAAATGGACCATGCCGGGTCGGGTCAAGTACATACCAAATAAAGTTATGGACTTAGACACTATATCCAACACTTAACTCTATAAGGTACTCCATAACCCACCAGTCAACCCCTGGTCAAAGTCAAAGTCCTCAGTCAAGGTCAACAATCCATGTTGACCCCCAACTCGCCGAGTACCCTTGGCTACTCGCCGAGTTCCTCGAAGCACATTCCACTCGCTGAGTCATCGGGGTGACTCGTCGAGTTCCTTCGATTCCCGATCAAACTCTAAGGCCACCCGTCGAGTTCCCTCCTTGCCACTCGACGGGTACACACGTATACATATCCTAGGGAAAAGTCATCTGACTCGCCGAGTTGTTCTTCAACTCGTCGAGTCTTATGGTGATCTTCATCGGACTCGCCGAGTTGTTCATCCAACTCGTCGAGTTCACGGCCATCTTCATGTGACTCGCCGAGTCAACCTTGCGACTCGCCGAGTCCATTCAGTCCTTTTTCCATACAGACTTGTTTTGAGCCATGCAGCGGCTCCAAATCACAGATCCAAGCTTCTAGGGCATGCTTTTCACGTAAAGCTGCAAACTTTACGTGCATGCATGACTAATAAGGCTCTTAATGCCAAAACTAAGTTCTTAATGGGGCTTTATGCACAAGGAGGGCCTCATTCTCGACCAAAATCAGAGCTTTATGACTCTAGAACCTAAGAAGGTTACAGATCTGAAGTTACAACTTCAGATCTAGCTCATATCCCACATTACCATCTCAACCAAACCATAAAAACCCTAGATCTCAACCAAAAGAGGTCTAGAAAGAAAAAGGAGAAAAGGTGACGACTTGATACCTCCAAATGATGCTATTTGAGGTAGATTTCTGATCTCCCACACTTCCTTGCTCCTAGCCTTTTGTTTCCCCAAGCTTCTCTCCTCAAAAGATCTCCTCTCCAAAGCTTTACACATACAAGAATGAACACCACACGAATTAGGGTTTTTCTGAGCTCTCAAGGACGGCAAAGAGGCCCAAATGAGGCTTATGCTTCCTTAAATAGGGTGCAAAAACCCCGGGATTTAGGGTTTCATCTGCCAGCTCCTACTCGTCGAGTCCCAATATGGACTCGTCGAGTAGGTCACTTAACACGCGATCCCACCCCGCTGCTACTCGACGAGTAGGTCAACCGACTCGTCGAGTGGAGCTTCATCCAATAACTCTTATTTAAGTGATACCTGAGAATCGGGCGTTACATAAACAAAATCATGCATGTAAATATTATTCAAAGCAATTACAAAACAAATGATTATTATAATTAAAAGTGAAGTATATATTAATTACCCAATGTAATGTTTGATCTTATCTTCATTAAGAAGTATGTAAGTATGGGTAGCATGCAATTCCTCATCATACAACATTCTATTACCGAATCTTCCATAATGACGACTAGGATATGAAAATATATCTAAAATTTCGTTGTTATCATCAGGTTGCTCATCTCCTCCTCCATCACCATTTCGAGGAAACTTTCTATTACGTGTGGGGACACCAGTCTCGAAATAATGAGAGCAATATATTGATGCTTCACGAAGCAAGTACGCATTAACAACAGACCCTTACACTCGAGCTTTATTTTTCACATCTTTTTTCAACTGATAGATATCTATAGTAAAGAAGATGTAAATTAACTTACAGTTACGACTTACAAAAATAGCAACATACATTTTGATTTAACATGCAAACCTTTCAAATGGATACATCCAACGATATTGGACGGCACCGGATATCTTCGCTTCGTATGGAAAAATGTACCGGTAAATGTTCCATGGAGTTAAAAATACCAAGGACAAAGATGGTCTCCAATTTACATAGAACTATTGGGATCTCGGCTTCAATCCTTTACATGTCTTTTGTTGTGATGGATCTTGTTGTTAATGTTTTGAAGAAAAGACTCAACTTTGTTAATGTTTTCCACACATATTTTGGCAACATCTCAGGAAATGCAATTGGCATCAATCTTTGCATAAAAATATGAAAATCATGGCTTTTCATTCTGAATAGTCTACATGCGGTAAAATCAACACACCTCCCCAAATTAGAAATATAACCATCGGGGAAACGCAATTTCTCCACCCATTCACATATGGATTTCTTTTGATTATTGTCTAGAGCATAGTACGCTCTTTGATCATCCTCGACTCCTGAGTTTCAGATCTCTTCTCGTTGTGGCATTGACATTTGTCTTCAATTTGACATCCATTACAGTGTAAAAGAAGTTCTCAAATACATTTTTCACAATATGCATAACATCAAAATAATGTCTAATGATGTTTGTTTTACAATATGATAAATCCCAAAATATTCTTTTCTTTTTCCAACTATGATCGACACATGCTTTGTTTACATCATCAACATTTAGTTCAGTCACTTTTACCAAACCTAATTGTTCAATTTTCCTTAAAGTTTGTTCACCATTCTTTGTTGGAGGAGGACCTTATTTCACTTCACGATTCCTCTTGAACTTATTTTTATCCTTTCTATATGGGTGATTTACTTGTAGAAATATTCTATGGCAATCAAACCATGACATTCTATTACCATTCTTCTGAATGCTTGTGTATGTTTCCCATAATGTGGACATGTTAGCTTACCTGATGTAGACCATCCTGGCAACATTGCATAAGCTGTAAAATCGCTAATTGTCCACATCAACGCTGCTCGTAATTGAAAATTTTGTTTTAAAGATATATCACATGTTAATATGCCTTCTTCCCATAACTGCTCCAATTATGCAACAAACGGATGCAAAAATACATCTATTTTCTGCTTAGGGTTTGACGGTCATATCACAAGTGCGGTCAAAAACTTGTAAGACTCTTTCATGCACATAGAAGGTGGAAAATTATAAGGTGTTATAATAATAGGCCAAGATGAATATTGTTTTCCAAATGCTCCATGTGGTGCAAACCCATCTGTACTTAGGCCTAATCTAAGATTACATACTTCTGCTGCAAATGAATGATGAATTCTGTCAAAGTGCTTCCAAACTTCAAAATCGGATGGATGACACATTACTCTAGCATCATGTCCATGATCCTCGGAGTGTCATCGCATGGAAGCGGTTGTGGCTTCTAAAGCATACAGTCACTTCAACCTGGGAGTCAAAGGAAAGTAATGCATTCTCTTAAAGGGTACGCGAGGACATCTAGCAAAAAAACTTGACCGTTTGTACTTATCTGCATTGCAAAATTTTCGCCGGTAAAGCTCTTTGTCTCCCCACCAATATATCATACATCCAGACCTATAGCAGTCAATCACCTCCACAGGCAAACCTAGTGCCTGTATTAACTTTTTGCTCTCGTATAAACTACCTACCATATTATTCTTCTCCGGTAACACATCATTTATCAATTGGCAGATAGCATCATAACTTTGTTCAGGTATGTGATACTCTGATTTTATATTCAATAGTCTAGCTACAGCAGACAGTTGTGTGACTTTTTACATCCATACCACAACTCTTCATCGACTGCCTCTAGCATATCAAAGAATTTTTATCTACTGCATTTGACTCCTCCTCAGGATTACTAGTAATAAAATCAGGAGTCATTGCATCTATGACCATTTCTCTATAAGTACATTCACCTTCATTCAAAGTTGTGTTTGAATCATCCACCCCTAAAGATGTATTTTCATCATAAATGGATGTTTCGCCATGTTTATCCCAAACCAATATTCCTTATGTAACATCCCGTTCATTAAATAAATAAATAGACAAATTAATGAATGAATAGTAGCCCTAAAATCTATAATATTTAGCGGGGTGTTGGCTTCGGGGAGTTAAACGTCATAATTTTGGAATTGAGGATTTAAAAGTGTAAGTCCGGACTGGTTTTGTAAAGATTTTCAAAGGTCAGCGAGTGTTTGGTAAATATTGGACCTAAATTAAAAGATTTTGGAGGCTAAGGGGCTAATGGTAATATATGGACTTTAATTGAAAATAATTTGTAGAGGAGGGGCTGTTTGGTAAAATATTGGGCTTGTTATGAAAGGATTTTTAGAGGCTGGGGCTAAAAGGGTAAATTATGGACTTAATTTTAAAGAAAAAGGAGAAGATGGGACCGATTGGGCCATTATGGAATGAAGTTTCATGGGGTCGGGGTATATAACTCGTCACCATCCCGGTAACCCTAACCCTAACATCAAGAGTCAACCGCCACCTTCTTCTCTACCTTCAGCCGCCGCTATCGGCTCCGGCCACCTAGCACTATCGAACGGCTCTTGTCACCGGCAACTACAAAGACTGATTGGGAAATCGGGAAAGGGCGTTGCATCAATTGAAGACCGGAGAAGAAGTTCACGTCGTGGTCGCCGCCGATTCGTGACTTTCCAGCCGTCGCCATCGCTGTCAAAGCCGAAAACCACCAGGATAATTTCGCTGTCGCCATTCCTGTCGTGGTCGAAGACGAGGACCAACCTCATGACGTCGTTCATCCGAGACCGTTGTACGCCGCCTTCCTTCCACAGTGCAGCGCTGCCGACCGCTAGCGCTGCTGTCGTTTGCAAGCTCATCACGTATCGTCGCTTCATCGTTACTACGTCCCAACTCCATCTGTTGCCTTTATCCGCTGCTCCTGCCCGCCATTCCGTGTCGTTGCCACCGCCGTACGCCACCAGGTGGGTGGCTGGGTTCATTTTACGAACAGAAGGAGTGTGTGTGTGTGTGCTTCTCCCACCATTGCGCATGACGTACGTGTGGTTGTTTGGCCGGATTTCACGAGAAAAGACACCACCATCACCGTGAGGTGGTGGCTAGCACCTCTGACCACTGCCTTTCGCCACAAGGGTGGCTAAGCGTGTGTGTGTGTGTGTGTTATTTGGGATATTGTGATGTATATGTTGGATTAGGTGTCTAAGTCAATAACTATAATTGGTATGCACTTGACACGATAGTAGCATGGTCCATTTGGGTTGCCTTCACCAGAACAATTTGATAGGATGGATATTTGAGAAATAGGTTATTTGTGATTTATTAATATATTATAAGTATAATATATTAATTGAGAAATCATATTATTTAATTAATATTGGTCAAGAATTAATTTAGAATTAATTTAGTGATAAAAAGAGATTAATTAAATTAAGGGGACTGATTAAGTAAATCAATAATACATATAGTTTGGGCCAATAATCCATGATTGATTAAGTGATGGACTAAGTTTAAATGAGAGTCCATTAAGAGTTAGTCCATAAGGCTTATCATATGGATTATTGGATTAAAGGCCCAAGGAAGTGGATTAGGGTTTACAAGTTGAAACCCTAGGAATTCCTGTCACAACCCGAAAATTTCTATCTTGTAAGGTCAAACAAATCAACTGAAGGTCAAACTTATAGGTTTCTAGACCTAGTATACGTAAGGGTTGTGTGTTAGGAAGTGAACCATGTAAGAACCGAGAGCCAAGAACTTCATTTGATCCATAAACCTCAACGAGTGAGGCCCAACCGAAGCAGGCCGTGTGTCGCCTCGTGTCCGAAGGAGCTTAGTCACCGATGCGGTGTGCAGCCGAGAGTCTGACGCGTACTCAGGTGACTCCTCGCATCCGAAGCCGCCTTACCTCGCACCGACGCGTGTCGCACCAGCTGTCCGAGCTTCGCAGGCGCCACCTCCCACCCCTCGGACCTAGACCTCGGTCCAATCAGAGGTCAGCAGCTGGACCCTCGCACGTGCGAGCCATGTGACTTCTCTTCGCATCTACTGCCGCGTGGATTCCTCTCAACCGTCCGATCAGGAGCCTCGCACCTATAAATAGAAGGGTGCGAGACCTCCTGGGTATATTTTGGAAAAGTGACATTTTACACCCCTAAACCCATATTTCTTTCATTCCAACTTACCCCAAAGCCCCGGTATTATACCAAACACCCGAAATACGCCCCGAAGTGCCCGAGAAGCCCGAGAAATTTGTCTTTTCGGTTTCGAAGCCCGACCCTCGCAGAGCCCGGTTTCTCAATAAAACTCCCGGTTTTATTAGAAACGATCGTTTTAGGAAACGAAGTGCTGCCCGATTATCATTAAATCATGTGAGTGTGTAGTTACTTTCACCTTACACATAGATATGAAGTATTTTATATAAAATACGTGCTGTGTGAATATATATTGTTTGTTTATTTGAGATGGATGTTATAGGAATGATTTATACAGGCTTTTAAATAATTTAAATTGTATATGTATTTTTATCTACAAAAATGTTGGGTAAAACATGGGTAGATGAAATAGTGGGTGTGTGATGAAAGGTGAGTTGGATAAATGAGATGATCAGTGATATAGATCATGAGTTGAGGGTGAGTGGTGAAATATGAGAGAATCACTTACACAAACGTTGGCCCCCGTCATTCAGCAAAGTACGGATGACAACCATGGACTATTCTAGATGATTTGTGGAACACTAGCAGGCTCGCAACCTGTAAATGTGTGACCTATATGTTCATCAGTTGTACTCTAAAAACCCATTGACATGTATTGCAGGGGGGATTCCCGTGAATAATGTTGTCGATAAATAAGAGCTATGGACTTAGCACATGTTGAAGAAACCTTGGCAGCTATGGACTTAGTGCCTGTTGTATAAACCCTGGCGACGATGTGACTTCGTGCCTATTCCTTAGGATGAATCCTTAGGAATGAGTGATAGTTGAATCTTAGGGTAAATCCTTAAGAAATAAATAAGATAATGAGGTTGGGGTAATTTGGTTGAGTGTTGATGTTTAAGCATAATAAATTTATTTATTGTGGGTTGAAAACCCTATATGCTCACCAGGCTTCCAAGCCTGGCCCACTCAGCTTTTTTTATTACAGGTAGTGGACCTCGAGCATAGTCGGATGATGATGAGTGATTTTTGATTATAGGTCAGTAGTTGTAAATAACTGTTGTAAGGCTTATAATGTCTTGTTTATACTTTTGATCTGTATCGGAATATGACATTCCGAGGTTTTGATATAAAAGGAAATTATATATTTCTTAAAGAAAGGTTTTGATAAACTTTTATCATGTTTTGTTTTGGGAACAAATTCCGCAACATCTTTTAAAAGGATTACTCTGATTTTATTTTAAAAGTATAACTTAAATCGGTCTTTTCTGGACGAGAAATTTGGGGATGTCACAGTTGGTATCAGAGCATTAGTTTAAGCGAACTAAGAAATTGTAGGATTTCTAGACTTAAACTTAGAATGCTAAGTGATGATTGTGAGATGAGTGTCTACCATATTTTAGACACGAGCACTAGTTTATTTTAGGAAAGATGCCTAAAATGCTTTTAGGTGCTAAATGCTATATGTTTGCCATATATGCTATTATTTGTTCGGATCTATGGTCTGTTGCCGACCGGATCTGGAAACCTTATGTGTGTAGGATTCTAAACGTATGATTACGATATTAGAGCTAACATATAAACGTTTCGGAGTAATAACGAAGATTTAACGTCTATCGAAAATAAAGATCTAAATTCACCTACGATTGGTGTATAGATCGAAATGGCGAGTACTCAAAGCGGATTCGGAAACGATAATCCGCAGCCTGAGCCAATCACGATGATTGGGGTGCAGGCAATGATGCGTACGATGTTGGATCAACAGATGGAAGAAACAAAACGTTTACTTCAACAAAGTAAGGATGAACTTACTGTGCCAGTACGTCAGACATCTGTTCTTGAGGCAACTATCTGGGTTGCTAAGTCTATTGAAGAAATGATCAATGACAGGACCGCCAACAAGGTTGAAGTTGGCAAGAAGAGGAAATTTGAGGGGTCTTCAAGGCCCAACAAGAGCAACATATTCTCAAAGTCTGGCAAAAGAGGAGGTAAAGGAAAATGGTGCGGGAAGTGCAAAAATAAACACTCTGGGAATTGTGGCAGGAAGGTGAATTGCTTTAGGTGTGGAGAAATTGGGCATTACGCCAATGAGTGTACGATTCCCAAGGAGGTGTGTTACGTATGTAAGGAAGAAGGCTATATTTCTAAGGATTGTCCGAAGAAAAATGAAGTAACAAGGCCAAGCGCACCGCCAACGCCAAGGGAATTTCAGAATATCCTTGACGAAGCAAATAACAATGCTAGGAATTAGAAGTAAAGACTTGATACCCGAAGATCAAGTTATGAAGTAGTAATGTGAATAGTAACAAGTGGTTTAGCCTATTAGAGGCATAGTATAGGGTAAACTTGAACCTCTGTGTAATCGTTTCAAGAAATAATATAAGCCCTAGTTTTGTCATCTGATGAATTGAATGACTATGTGAAATTCTTGTATGGTGATTTGGAGAACTGCAAGACAATACTTGGGACGAGTATGAGTAGGTGTGAATGGTAGTAGAGGCCTATACTACCGGAAGCACAGGACTCGTACTTGGATCAAGGAAAGTCACAAGGTTACCAAGGAGCTAGTAATTGATTCCATCTTGTTCTAGTCTGTCGTTACCATCGTTTCGGTAATGACTAAGAAGATAATTGTTATTCCGACCTTAGAGGTCATATCGAATCGAGTCCGACTAAGATAAGTATGTCACGTGGTTCAGAGAACCAAGTTCGATGTAGCATTTGACTTAAGCCAGAAGATTGAAGTGAAAGATGATCAAAGCGATCAATAGAAGTATCGCACTCATTGTTAAAGAAGTTGGTAGTTAGAAATGATACATGATAAACTGTGATTGTATCACATTAGAACATGAAGGAAGGTATAGTTTGTTCCGAAATTTGTCTCTAAGAGACCTGAGTCTAAGTAGTGCATTATACGATGAGAGATCATTAGAACATGACCCATCGGTCTGTTACAATGAATGAAGGAAAGTACTTATTCTAAGAAGAAGAAGGAGTCCTCAATAAGGATTTAGTTTGTAACTCGAAGGTTACAATTGAAAGTCCTACGGAGATCTGAAGCTTTTTAGGATTAGCTGGATATTACCGAAGGTTTATCCAAGGCTTTTCTTCGATCGCGACTCCATTAACAGCTTTGACCCACAAAGGAGCTATTTATACTTGGAATGAGAAGCATAAGGAAGCTTTTGAGAAGTTAAAGAAGAAGTTGTGTGAAGCACCGATTCTTTCGTTACCTGAAGGAGTTGATGACTTCACAGTTTATAGTGATGCCTCTAGAGTTGGGTTAGGTTGTGTTCTGACCCAAAGGAATAAAGTGATAGCGTATGCATCGAGGCAATTGAAAGAGCATGAAAAGAACTACCCCACTCATGATCTGGAGTTGGCAGCGGTAGTATTCGCCTTAAATATATGGAGGCACTATCTTTATGGTACTAAATGCAAACTTTTCACTGATCATAAGAGTCTTCAATATCTCTTTAATCAGAAGGAATTGAACATGAGGCAACGGCGCTGGCTAGAGTTATTCAAGGACTACGACTGTGAGATACTTTACCACCCTGGTAAAGCAAATGTTGTTGATGATGCTCTCAGTCGGAAGGTAAATCTTGAAAAGAAAAGGCCAAGAGTGTTGAGAATTGAAGTTGTCTCGACAATTGTGGAAAGTATAAAGAAAGCTCAAGAGGAAGCTTTAGAGAAAAATGACCGAAAGGAAGAACGTTTGGGGCAAAACGTTGGTACTTGATACAAACAGTCAAGGACTGAAGGTATTCAAAGATAGGATTTGGGTACCTAAGATGGGAGAAGTAAGAGATCTTCTGATGCAAGAAGCTCAC